ATAATTTGTACATTATATTATTTCAAACCCACTAAAATGTCTGTAAAAGTCACTTCGTTAAACTGCAGAGTTGATTTATTAGCTTTAAAAGTCGACAGAGCGGCGATCAACATCCCAAAACACTTAGAAAAATAGACAGTGTATATCATAATATATTATTAAAGAGGATAATTTTTGGTCATTTTGGTTTGATGATATTTATCGTTAGCTTTTCTTACATGAGAAAGTAATGTTATTTATTTTATTTCCATTTATTTAGTTTAGTTAGTGTACTATAAAGCATGTGCATGCATACATGTGTGTTCCACTTGAGTTATTAGATATTTAGACATAGTTTTGTGCACAGATAAGGGGTCATTAATAATCAGAAATGAGTAAGTGTGGAAAATGCTGATCAGCAGGCGAGATCAAACACTCCATTGAAAATACTGGAGTGAAATAAATGTTCATATTTTAAAGACATGGCGGGGAAAATGTATTTTAATGCAGTGCTTCTTGTACATTTTGAGACCCACTTTATATCGTATATCAATCAGGCAGTGAAGATCACTGATTTTTAAAGAAAACAGACTTAAACGTGCCGATTTTGTAACTGCATATAGTTCACCGGACGCACTTGACCCCGGTTACAGCAAAAGTCCTCAAAAGGGCTCATAATAAGCAGCATCTTTATGAATTAATATCAATAACATATTGTGTGGTATTGTCTTTTCCAGATTGTCTATATTCAGTGTGTAACCACATTAAAACAAAACCTACGGAAAAGGCGATCCTGGGTTGTGGATTCACTCTACATGGAAGAGGAGCTCGATGGTCCTTTCCCATATAAAATAGGAAATGTAGGTTATTACGTGGGAACATTTTCGCAGTAATCCACACTTAATGACAGAATATCAAGTTATAAATTGCAAAAGTTGTTAAAAAAGAAGAGGAATGGCAAATATTTGGATGGTTTTTCATCAACTAGAATAATAATGTATAATGTTTTACTTTTTTTAGTTAAATATTGAGAAGAGAGTGGTGGAAAATAGTCTGATCCGTGGACAAGGCATTGACAAAGACCCCAAAGGAATTCTGTCTGTGAAGTCAGACGGCTCAGTTTACGCACTCGGAAAGGTTGATTACGAGGAATACAAGAAGCTAACAGTAAGTCAACAAAATGTTTGTCAGCAATGACCAAAAAAGCTGACTACATTTTTTCATTAAAGGAAAATATTGGTGAACTGATTGCCAGATGTTTTATCTTTATAAATTCTATTATGATCTTATTAAATATATGTGTGTTTATAATAATTCAATTAATCTGAAAACTATAAACTGCTAATATAAATATTACAGTAGGCCTAGTTTGCTGCTAAGAAATGGTATGCAGTTGTTACATAAGCATTGGAATAATGTAAACAAACTAACTTACTAGCCAACACATATGACGTTTTTGACTACGCAGATATAAGTTGATGCATAACATCGACTCTTAACAAATATTGTTATTAAAGAAAGGAAAATAAAAATTTTATATCTTACTTGCAACGTATCTGCAGTTCGTTGTTCATGATTGTTCATGATTCAAGAGTTTTGATGCGCACCGATCTTTTCAGCGGTGAGTAATGTCACGCTTCTGATTGGCTACGCAAATCATTAGCTCACCAGAAACACGTGTGATTGGTTAAGCGTCGCAAAACACAATTCAAATAGAAATCTGGTTTAACATGCAAACAAACAAACACTTTTCATTCCACTGTAAGTTTCACAGCTGTAATAGTCGACATGTGTAGCCTTTAACTAGAATGTTTTTCTTTATTTTGGTGTTAGTTTTCCCACAAGCGTTTGCTAATTTCAGTTGAATTAGCATTTGTTAATAGTTTCTGTCATTGTGTTGACCTGCAGATCACACTGACTAAACAAAACACAACTGTTGCGGTGGATATTGTGGTCTTGGATGTGAATGACCACGCTCCTGTTTTTAATAAGGAAGTGTATGAGATCTCAAAAGATGAATCAACACCACAAGGTAAAACCGGGTAATATCTTTCCCAACAACATACAAGACGGGTTTTTTGGGGGATACACCAGCAGATACTCACCTAGGCTAAATACAGCATTTTTGTGACACTACAATAATTCATATTTTTTACATTAGGCCTACTGTTTGGGTAGGGGTAGATGTTAATATACAATTTAATGGGTAATTCAACAAATAATGCGAATAATACATGGTAAACTGGTCATGTTTTTACATACTGTGAGGGTTAGGATAGGATTAGACATTAATAAAATACAATTACACGGGTAATTTAAAAAATAATATGTTTAATACTCTGTATAGTGACTGTTTTTACAGTACAATACAATAAATAGCTAACTTAATTGAAAAATATGTTGATTAATTAATATTTTTACATTACTGTGAGGTTTGGAGTAGGTGTAGAGATTAATAAAATACAATAAATGGCTAATTTAATTGGAAAAATATGATTAATTAATATGTTTACATTACTGTGAGGGTTGGGTTTAGGAAAATACGTTAATGAAAAACAAGTTCATGTGTAATTTAATGAATAATACTCAGCATAATTACCGTTTTACCCAACTGTGATGGTTTAGGGGTAGGGGTAGATGTTAATATACAATTTAATGGGTAATTCAACAAATAATGCAATTAATACATGGTAAAATTACTGTTTTTGCATTACGTTAAGGGTTAGGATAGGGGGAGACATTGATAAAAATACAATAAATGGCTAATTTGATTGAAAAATATGATTAATTAACATTTTTACATTACTGTAATGGTTGGGTTTAGGGATAGACGTTAATAAAATACAATTTAATGTGTAATTTAATGAATAATACTCAGCATAATTACTGTTTTTACATAATTGTGAGGGTTTAGGGGTAGGGGTAGATGTTAATATACAATTAAATGGGTAATTCAACAAATAATGTGAATAATACATGGTAAAACTACTGTTCCTCCATTACTGTGAGGGTTAGGATAGGGGGAGACATTAATAAAATATAAGTAAATCGGTAATTTAATACATAATAGGATTAATACTCTGTGTAACTATTGTTTTTACAATACTGTGAGGGTTGGAGTAGGTGTAAACATTGATAAAATACAATAAATGGCTAATTTAATTAAAAAATAATAATATTTTTACATTAATGTGAGGGTTGGGTTTAGAGATAGATGTTAAAGAAATACAATTTAATGTGTAGTTTAATTAATAATACTCAGTATAACTACTATTACTGTGAGGGTTTCGGGGTGGGGTAGATGTTAATGAAATACAATGTAATGGGAAATTTTATAAATAATTCTTATTAGTTTCCGGCTGCAGCTGTATCCCTTCTAGCAACAACTGTTAGTTTTGCTGGGTGAAACATCAACGTGTCCCATAATCCTCTTTGTCTTGTCTTCTCCACAGGTGAGGTTTTGGTCACAGTGCAGGCGAATGATTATGACCAGCCGCACAGCAGAAACTCAGCGTTTACTATAAACATCGTCTCAGTGTCTCCATCCACCTCCAGTCTGCAGTTCTACATTGACCAGACTGAAGGAGACTTGACCGGCAAGATTTCGTTTAAAGGATGCCTTCTTGACTATGAGGTAACAATAAGCGCTGCTTCTCATCTCGAACATCTTTGCATTACTCAAAATATGATTTATGACCTTAACCTAACAGGTGGCAGCTGTCAACTTTGACCCTTGTGTATATGCAAATGTACAGAAAGGGTTTAGCCATTTTGGTTTTAGCTTGAGTTGTTTCTGCACTGGGTTCCACACAATTGATTTGTGTTGGATCCACATAAAGGAGTTAAGTTAACATGTTAGTTTTTTACAAATTTAAGTGGATTGAACGTAAAACAATTTAGTCTCCAACAATATTTTGTTATTTCAGCTCATTTTAAATAAGTAGATTAAGCAAACAACAAACATCATTTTTTTTGAGCGTCAAAAGACCTTAAGGGTCAAAGGTGACCGCTGACTGTTTTGACCCATGGTTCATTATACTTCCTTCTTTTGCCTGTTTCATATTGCAGATATTATTTAATGTTACAGTAAAATTCCTGCATCATTTTAGTCAAGTGTGAAGCCACTAATGTTGCAATGCTATTTTTCTTATTATTTCAAACATATTTAAACAATGACTTACTATAGGCTTATGCAATATTATAGTAAACTTTATAATATAACTGACTATATATAATGTATAAACACATTTTAAATAAAATATTTTACTGACTATCAATATTAGAAAAGTTTTTTGGTTTAATCAACAGTACATTGAATTTGTTATGATGTTTATGAATATATATATATATATATAAACTAAAAAAATATGTTACTAGTTTTTTGGTTATAGCGTGATATTATCACTGTCATTATATTTAAAAAATTCTTAATAAATTTGGATTATTAAAATAAATAATTTGATGTTCATGTTATCAATGCATTGGCTAACTTTATCAAGCATAGCGTTAGATTTCAATAATGAAAACAAAAAACAAAAAAAACACCATTTACTTTATTAGTTTCTTTCTTCTGTTGAACACTAAAGAAGATATTTTGAAGAATGCTGAAAACTGGTAACCATTAACTTCCGTAGTAAGAAAACAAATACTGTGAAAGTCAGGGGTCACTGGTTTCCAACAATCTTCAAAATACCTGCTTTAGTGTTCAACAGAATAAATAAATCTGAAACAAGTAAAGAATGAGTAAACGATGACTGAATTTTCATTCTTGTGTTAACTATCCCTTTAACTACATGTTTCTGAGACTATTCAACGTCTCTCTGCATTTCGTTCTGTAGGAGGCGCAAAAATACACTCTTCTAGTGGAAGCGAAGGATCATGGGGAGAAGGTGCAGCTCTCCAGCACGAGCACAGTGATACTGAACATCATCGACAGAAACAACCACCTCCCTGAATTCACTGCAGTGACTGTGAGTGAACACTGTGGCACAGTAGATATGTTTCACTTCAATTAGATTTGAGCACAAACCTGGAATATTCCATAAAATATTAGTGAGTGAATAAAGCAGCATTTCCATCCAACGAGAAACAAAAGAGAAAGAAAATCCTCACTAGCTCATCCTGCACAGATATGGCTGGGAGAAGTGGAGTCTGCTGCACTGTTGGGATTCTTCACTGTGGTGTCTGTTCTCCTCTAATAACTGAGCTGCGCCTCAAAAGACGAAGACGAAACACAATGAGCGCGGTGAATACCCAGACAGACAGAAGCTCAAGACAGTTCTGAAGAGAATAATAATAGAACAATAGTAATACTGAAGCAATGTGATGTTGGACTGATGGAGGCCTTTTACAATCAGCACAACATATCAGATCTGCAGCAGTGTGCTGGAAACATCTGCATGGTCCCTTAATGCATCCCATCTTGCACATTTGTATTTTATTTTACACTACGAACCAACATTAATGATGCAAACACCCTCACACACACATTTATGTCTGATCAGCATCTGTCAGAAACATGTTTGTTTTTATGCGATAACCCTATGAAAATAGGTGGATGGAAACCAATACTGTTATTCTTCTGAGTTACCGGGTGCTGCAGTTTGAGTCCAGTTTTAATGAAGGTCATCTGTGGCTGATTTACGGCTCAATCTATGGTTTAATCTGGGTGTTGTTGTTTCAGGGTTTTATGGGAGTGAAAGCGCAGACGGCTGGAGATGTAGTTTGTCGGCTGAAAGTGTCAGATAAAGACAGCAGAGGATCTCCATCTTGGAGAGCTCGATACTCTCTGCAGGGGGAAAAAGCAGAGCATTTCAGCATCCAGACCGACCCCGACACCAATGACGGACTCATAACACTCACTCAGGTGCACACATCACTGATGCACAGCCTCACTGTCAACTTTACATGTCAACTGGGTTACAATTATATCTTTAGATTAGATTATATTATTATGTTAGGAGTTTTTGCCTGAAATGTGTTAGTAGAATCTTTTGTTGTCCTCTTTCACTTTCATTTTAACCCTTTAAAATTATCAATTATTGGAATGATGGAATGATTGATTCATTCAGTCAGATAATTAGTTTGTTTGTTTGATCAAGTAACTAATAATTTGATTAGTTAGTTTATTCGTTCAGCTAGTCAGATAGTTAGTTAGTTAGTTAGTTAGTTAGTTAGTTAGTTAGTTAGTTAGTTAGTTAGTTAGTTCGTTCGTTCGTTCGTTCGTTCGTTCGTTCGTTTATTAGTTAATTTATATGATTAGTTAGTTTGTTAATTCAGTCTGTTAGTTAGTTTGTTTGTATTTACATTTGTTCAGGCATTTGCTTAGTTAATTCCTTTGTTCAGTAGTTAATTAGTTAATTAGTTAGTTCCTTTGTTCAGTACTTAGTTAGTTTGTTAGTTAGTTATTTCTTTAGTTAATTCATTAGTTAGTTCCTTTTGTTTGTTCGTTAGTTAGTTAGTTAGTCAGTCAGTTAGTCAGTCAGTCAGTCAGTCAGTCAGACAGTCAGTCAGTCAGTTAGTTAGTTAGTTAGTTAAGAAGTTACTTTGTTTATTTGTTAGTTAGTTAGTTAGTTAGTTCCTTCATTCATTCGTTTGTTAGTTAATTAGTTAAATATTAAGTAAAATATTTATTTCTTCATTCATTTATTTATTGTTTATTATTTATTGACCAGTCATTTTTTCTTATTTCCCAATGTGGTGCTTCATCTACTAGTAATATTTTTGGAAGAAATTAATTTGGTCCAAAAATTTGTATAGAAAGTCGATTGCCATGGCTCAATCATGTATTATATTTCCGTTATATGAGACTCATCATATGCCGTTTTGTCCTGCAGCCTTTGAGTTTCAAGGAGGTGTCCAGTTTGAGTGTCATTGTGAAGAACGAGGAGCCCTTCTTCTACTGTCGGGTTAAAGGACGCCCCAAACACGGACTATGGCATGTGGACTACAGTAGAGGGAGATCCAGCAGCTTCACATTGGTCTCTCTTCCACTGCAAACTCTAGATCGAGATGCCAGAGTGTCTGTGATGGAGACAGGCCCGATGCTGGAGCCTAGTGAACTCTACACATGTCTGTCTGAGAAAATGGTCAATATTACAGCTGTAGACGCAGACCGACATGACGCGCTAAAATTTCAGCTGATGGGAGATGCTGAGGGTCAATGGAGGCTTGAGTATAATGGCGGTAAGAACTGAATGTGATTCACAGGTCCACACCAGTCTCAAAAACAAACTTACCCCCTTAGTGTTCAGCACTTATAGCAGTAAACTGCATATATCTGTTTTCTTCCAGGCTCTTCTGTGAGACTGATTAAAGAGAGTATGGCACATACAGGTGATCATACACTCACCATCAAGATCTCCGACAGCCTGGGCCAGCATTCACTCCACAGTCTCTCGGTTCACGTTTGTGACTGTCAACTTTCTGAAAACTGCAGCGTGCGCAGAAAAATCCAGATCAACAGCGCTGCTGTCACTGCCATCGCCGTCAGCTTCATGCTGCTGCTGGGTAAGCAGAGAGAAAGATTTCAGCTCAGTTTGATCACACTTTATCTTAATGTACAATCCACACTATTACCAGTCATTTAAATAAGACTTTAAGCGCAATAAACTACTAATCAGCTGATTATTAATAGCAAAGACCTCTCTGGCATTCTGTCTTTCCCAAACTGTTTGCCAAGTTTACCGATAACCCATATTTGTCTCTAACGTTTTGTTTCTAAACGTTCCAATCAAACAAAATCGGCATTTTCTCAGGTTCCCCTAATTTAATCCGCATTCAAAGGAAACAAGATCGCGACACCAACCTCATGTATGGCTGTTTCTGTTTATGTGTTACACATTATCATCCTCTGAATAATGCCTTCGCCAATTGCGCTAGTCTTATGAAGTAATTCTGAAGTAAATCTTGATAGTGAATCTCCTCCAGAAATGATGACGACTCTTTGTTTACAAGTTTGTGTGCGTTTGAGTAGTTTCCATCATGTGATGTGCATAAGAAGGGACAGACTGTCCCTCACATAAATTTCAAACAAATTACAAAACTAGAGAACATTTGTTTAAGTGTAGTTGATTCATTAAAAAGTCGAGATTCCACCTTTCTGTGTATATATTTCTCATGTCTGTGAAGCAAGTATTCACTGAGATTTAAGTGCGTTTGCTGAGAGTATTCACAATGAAGCTGCAGAAACTGTCATAAAAACACATGCACCAAGCCCCTCCCCCGAAAACCATCAGTCTATCGCGATCAATGATTGGCTTGTGTACTGGTAGGCGGGGCTTCATTCACCAATGAGACCGTTACACTTTCCCCATTCAGAGTGACACTTCTTGTTCGTTCTACAGTGTTTGTTAATAGAAAGGTAGCAGTTGGGTTTACTGTAGGTGTATGGTAGATGTAAATAAGATCATACTTTATAATTGCTAATAAACAGTTAATATCCTCATAGTAGGCAGGTAAAAGCCTACAAGTAAATAGTGTAAACTGTTACTTAAACTTAAGTGTTACCATAAATTATTTTTAAATTGAGTAATATATACAGTGCTCAACATAAATGAGTGCACATTTTAACCATTTCTCTGTGAAAATAGGTCATATATTTTGGCCCATTTGAGCAAAACAAATGTATTAAACTGATATATTTGTTAAAATATTATTTTGTTATTATTTAAGTCTCCAAATATCTTCAGAAATGGAAAGATAATGCATTTAAATCCATGCAAAATATTGGGAGAAAAATACTATCAACATTTTATATATTTTTGGATTCCGCTGTGGTGACCCCAGATTAATAAAGGGACTACGCCGAAAAGAAAATGAATGAATGAATGAATGAATGAGATTTGTGAGGGCTGAACTCATTTATGCTGGGCACTATAAAGTATATCGCAGGAATAACCAAATATCGCAATATAAGAAGTTTTCAATATCCCTCAGCCCTGTTTTGAGTGCACGTTCCTGTAAATCTAATTATGCTGTGTGTGTCTGTGTGTGTGTGTGTGTGTGTGTGTGTGTGTTTGTACTTTAAAATCAAAGGTTTCTCATTGATGATGTGCCAGATAAGAGTAAACAAATCTCCCATGAAGTTCTCTACAAATGTGCCGCAAATCCCTGAGTCCTCTCTGAGTCATGACCTTTCTGAAACCGACAACATGGTAAGCCTGATCTACAGCACTTGTTATTTGACGCTCTTTTTAACCCTCCTGTTCTCTTGTAACTCTGTATACACTAGTACGTCCTTCTGGTCAAAATGTCCCGCCTTCAGTAAACCTCTAAAATAAAGCAGATCAATTTCATTTCAATCCTCATATCTGTTTAACAGTATTCATAACAGTTAAAGAAGCAGATTCTTATTGAGTGTGTGTGTTTTGTAGTGTGTGTGTGGAGTGGCTGCTAACCCCCCCCAGCCTTCAAGTGATTAAGGTTTTTTCCCTGCTATTAAAATGAAGCCCGATGCCATAACAGGAGCGTTAATATCCTTTGGCGATATTGTAACTGTTGGACGCTGGAGTTGAGGATCCAATAGCAGTTCCTTAAGAGAATCATCTAGCAAGCCAAGGTCAAAACAGGAGCATACAGATAATCCAAAGTGTGGTCAATAAACAGGCGAGCAGTCGGTACAGGTGGCAAACAATGAAAACAAAGTAAAGAGTCAAACACGGCAAGGCAAGGGAAAACGCATCGTAATGCTCACTTAACAGTTGAACACAACTCAGGCTCACTCTGATAATGTACCCCTGTATACATTTCTGGACAGCACCAGATTCGTCCCAAAAGCTACAATATTTTGCAGTTTTTGTGAATCCACCAGAGGGCGCTGTAAACACTTTTTCAGATCTCAAATTTCGCCATTCCTGCCTGCTGTTCTCACATATATCCACCAGAGATGCGCTGTCGACTGAATGACTGACCAAACAACCGATCCCCACACCCTCCTCCTTCCCTAAACCCAACCGACAGTGTTTTTAAAATATCCGTAGCGTTCGTTTTATAGATAAAATGCCACCATACGTAGCTCCGGCTGCACAATTAGTGATTTCCACAAATGTATATAGGACTATGTTATCGTAACTTTTTGATTTAGAGGCTAATTCGTATTAATTCACACAATCTCATTCGTACAATTTAGTGCGATTTGCTGATCCCCCGATGACAGTTGGGTTTAGGGGCGGAGTTTGGTGCCACGCCTCCTTCAAAAACTGAACTCAAATTAGCAATTAAACTGACAAAGCGTAAAACACTTACGTTTCCTCATGCAATCAGGCAGGAAAAAACTTATTTTAACATGAAAAAGATCACTTTTATCGCATGTTGCAATGTAGTGTAACCCAATATTTGCGATCTAGATTATGAATGATGAAATGCACTGAACTCTGATCGTCTGTCTTCTGTTCTCTGTTATACAGATTGCGAGTTTAATTCCGACTGAGCCAACGCTATCAAGCTGCATGTAAACAAATATGAAGAAAATGAACTTCTGCAATAACGACTGCTAGGTTTTGCACTGTAAACTTTAAGGCAGAGCTGTTTTTGATTGGAGAGGGGTCTGGCTGCAGACCTGGTGCAGTGCAATCTGGGCTGCGTCCAATGCTTTTTAATGGGCTCACCTAACCCTACCCGTCACAGTGACGTCACTAGCTCCATTTGAGTGCATTGTGTCTGACATTGCATCGCTGAGTGATGCAGTCTCAGCTTGCATCATAAAGGCTGCATCCAGATACTATTGTTTGATTGTGCGCTTTCATACATGATGAATGACTGGAATAGACTGAAATGAATGACACGATGATTCTGTCATGATTAAATGCTGATTGTATGAATTATCAATCACAGCCTTCGCCACTTGATTGATATGAAGGAATGTCTTTTTATAAGAGATTTTTTAAAATATGTATTATGTGTATATTTGCTTTGTTGTGTTTCATTATAAATTTGTCGTGTGTTTGTTTTATTTTATGTTTATTTATTGTGCTGAAATAAAAGGAAACAGAAATGTGTTGTTGCTGATTTAATTATTTCAGACTGATAGCAGTGATGTCTTACACAAAGACGCAGCATTCACATTAAACAATTTCTTACATTTTTTAAACATACATAAAACAAAAAATATATATATATTTACACATAAATGCATCATATGAAATATTTTAGATGGTATCACATAGTATTATTCTGTTTTTAGTATTATAGTTTCATACAGTTCTTTGACCTGACATTCATCATGAAAATGACTTCACCTGAAGACCTTTGGCCTGTGCAGCATTCGTTCATTATATTGCATTGATAAACGTTCTCACAGTCAAACTATTTCACTGTTACTCTGATGAGACCTGACACAGAGCTGCTGAATCTGGTAATGGTGAAGAATGTGTAAAGCACATGACCACTAACTTCATTTAAAACACACACATCCGTCTTATTCTCGCTAAAGATGTGCTTTTTAACAGTGTTGTTAAACTAGATTACTGAAATAATGGGAAATGCTTTAGGGATAATGTGAAAGGTTATATTTGGGTTAATGACAGAGAGTTTACAAGCACTAACAACAGCAGAATGCAGTTTAAAATGTATATCATTGTAGTCAGAATTATTCGCCCTCCTTTAATTTTATTTCCCCAATTTCTGTTTAACAGAGAGCAGATTTCTTCAATACATTTCTAATTATAATACTTTTATAACTCATCTCTAATAGCTGATGTCTTGTCTCTTTGTTATAATGACAGTAAATAATATTAGACTAGATATTCTTCAAGACACTATAGTGTTCAGCTTAAAGTCACATTTAAAGGCTTCACTAATTAGGGTAATTAGGCAAGTCAATGTATAACAGTGGTTTGTCTTGTAAATAATTAAAAATAGACAAATAAATCAATCAAACAGAAAAAACTAATAAATAAAATAAAATAATAAATAAAAAAATAAATATAATAAATAAACGAGCAATGAAATATGAAATAAAATAAATCAAAACTGAATAAATAAATAAATAATCAAATAAATAATTTAAAAAAATAAAGTATATAAACAAAAGAACAAATGAATACATTAATTAATAATAACTTAATTAATTAAATAGAATACATTAATGAATTAATAAAGAAATAAATAAATGAAATATAATAGATAAATCAAACTGAATAAATAAATAATCAAATAAATAAAATAGAACAAATAAATAAAAGAATAAAAATAAACCAGTAAGTAAGTAAATAAACCCAATAGAATAAAGAAATTGTAAAAAAAAAATAATAACAATAAATGAATAAAAGAGTAAATAAATAAAATAAAATAACTAATTAATACAGGAATAAATGACAAAATAAATAAATCAAATAGAATAAATAAATAAATTAATCAAAATAGAAAAATCAATCAACGAATAGAATTAATTATTAAAAGAATAAATAAAATTAAATAAACAAAAAAGAATAAATAAATAAAACAGAAAATATATATATAGATTAATTAAACAGAATTTATGAATTAACAAATGAATTAGTAAATAAATCAATTAAATGGAATAAATAAATCAAACTGAATGTATAAATACACAAATAAATAAAGAAATAAATAAATTAGAGTAAATAAATTAATAAAATAATAAATTAATTAATTAAATAGAATAAATAAGTCAAACTGAATAAATAAAGAAATAAATAAATAAAGAGAATAAACAAATCAAACTGAATAAATAAGTAATCAAATAAATAAAGGTATAATCAAATAAATAAACAAAACAGAGTTAAATAATAAAAAAGAATAAAAGAACGAAAAAAATAAATAAATAAAATAATAAAATTGATTAAATAGAATAAATAAATGAACAGATGGATTAATAAATAAATCAAATTAAACTGAATAAATTAAATAAATCAAACTGGATATATAAATAATCAAATAAATAAATAAATAAATAAATTAGAGTAAATAAATAAATAGAGTAAATAAGTGAATAAAAGACTAAAAGAACGAATAAATAAATGAATACATAAAATAATAAATAAATTTATTAAACAAAATAAAAAAATGAAAAAATAATTTAATATCAAAATCAAATAGAATAAATGAATCAAACTGAATAAATAAACAATAAAATAAATTAAACAGAGCAAATAAATACATATAATAACGAATTATCAAACAAACAAATAAATAAACAAATGAATAAAATATAGGCCTATGCTATAGGCTATAACAAAGTCTGCATTCTCGTATAGCTGCTCTATATTGAATCATACAGCTGGACTGGTAGTGAAGGTATGAGTTGGGTCAGTAATTATTCTTACAGTAGGTCTAGTGATGATAATAATACCGGTGTTCAGAACAGTGCTGTACTGTGTATGATATGGGCGGGTGTTGTTTCGTGGCAGAACTGAAGATGGGCGGACTTTAAAACCAGCCAGCAGGAAAAGACAGGAAAGCCGATACTTCCCCGCAGCACAACAAAAGACAACGGTAACTATTTCCACAGGTTTATACAGATATATCAGTCCAAGAAACGCAATTAAATGGCATGTTTGCTGTCAAAAACCGCGAGATCGCGTTTATTTACACTGATTGTTCGATTTCCTTTATGTCCAACGGCCTGAAACTCACAGTGACTGTAAATATGTTTATTTATACACGAGTTTAATCATTTCTGTTGATGATTCGCGATAGCTAGTTAGAATAACTACTTAATATGATCATGATTTAAGTTAATATGACTTAAAACGGCTTTTTAATGCGTTTGAATTGCCCTAGAGTTTAATAAGATGATTAGGTAGAAAATATGAACTGATTTATATTAATCCAGACTTTAAAGTCTTCTGACATGTATTGAAATCGGCATTTTGGTCGATAAAGCTAATATTATTTTTCTTTTTATTAAGTTTGACGTTAGCTTTATTTGTTAGCAAAGATTGTGCTGGGCGATTGTTTTTCCACGAGTGTAATAACGGTAAGTTAGTGAGAAATATCTTTAGTTGTGCTCTAACATCTTGTGTAGTTTTATATGTTAGTTTTGCGGGTTTACTTTGTTTCAGTGTAAAGTTTATTTAAAAGCGTTTCTTACATGTCGGCTAATGTTAACGCTTACCAACACTCCTAGTTGTGATTGTTTTGTTTTTTTTTTGCTAATTAGATGAATGTTGTTAAAATATTCCCCATTTAAATGTATTAAACACACTCTCCTAAAAGCTCTTTTCATTTTTCGTTCTGAATTTTATCTCCTCGATGATATTTTTGGCGTATTTTGGTGTTATTCGCGTGAATGTTTTGGTGGTGGGGCGCGGTGGCACAGGCCTCGCGACATGACGGTTTTTTAATCATCAATATGACGACCTTCACACGCAACAGTGTTCTTAAATGATCGCTTATATTGTGTTTTATAGTTATGTCCTTTATCGTCTGGTGAATATTGGTGTAAAGTTTTGTTTTGATTTTTATTTCCCCCCACATAGCGACACCGACACACTGCAACTTCCGGTTAAAAGATACTTCCGCAGATGTGTTTCCGGTTCATGTTTACTGTGGAAATAATTCACCGAACACTAAAAATATCTATCTATCTATCTATCTATCTATCTATCTATCTATCTATCTATCTATCTATCTATCTATCCATCTATCCATCTATCCATCCATCTATCTTTCTATCTATCTTTCTATCTATCTTTCTATCCGTCTATCTATCTATCTATCTATCTATCTATCTATCTATCTATCTATCTATCTATCTATCTATCCATCTATCCATCTATCTATCTATCTATCTATCTATCTGTCTATCTATCTATCTATCTATCTCTCTGTCCATCCATCCATCTATCTATCTATCTATCTATCTATCCATCCATCCATCCATCCATCCATCCATCCATCCATCCATCCATCCATCCATCCATCTATC